AATAATAATTGATAATAAATAAAATTATATAAAAAAAATAATAAAAATAATACATAATAATTAAATAATAATTAAATAAAAATAATTTTTAATTTTTATCGATAAGAAAAATCAATGCATAAAATGAATTATACATATATTTAACAAAGAATATAGGGATATTTTCAGATGGTTACTAAATTATCTTTTCCCTTCCGCGAAAAGAAAATCGCCTGGAGATGCTTCTATGTAGAATTCAGGCCGGAAGTGCACAGGAGTTGCAGCTTTCGAAGACGATCGTAAAACGCCTCGCGAGTTCCTCGATGTTTCCTTATCCCCACTGCGAGTACCTTTGATATCTACTTATTTCTTATTCCGTTACTAGATGAGAAAGTTAATAATTATATTAAAGAAAAATCCAAATTATTTTCACATAATTTTATCGATAATAATAAAAAAAGAAAAAGGAAAAGTCAATATTTTTAATTTCAATGTTTATTTAAAAAATTGATTATATATAATTTTCATTCAATTATTAAATTGAAATAAATCTGTTAGAATATTCTAAAATAAAAATAGTTAGTATTGCAAATATTTCTCAAAAGCAATTATATATACAATCAGGCAATGCGATGTCGTAGAAACGTAAGCAATTCATAATGTTCGAATAAGTCTTGCTTACGTCGTCGCGGCCTCGTCCAGAGAGCAAGGACATTCATTGGCCACAATTCATCTGTCGCGCAATGCTCAACCAATCGTAAACTTGACTAGCGCTTTACTTCCGTCGCGAAGCCACGCATTCGTCTGTCCTCGCGTACACTGGTTTCGTTGTCACGGCACAGGTATTATATGCTTATATATTCACTGCATACGGTTGTACTCGCGAATGAGCAGGTTTAAACGCTTGGTACGCGCTCGTTTCCGCGGTCAGAATCATTGGCACATTCTCGCGCCGGCAATAAACCGCCAGTTAAAACTCCCACTCTCTCATTCTTCTCTTCTCTTTTTTTCGGCGCTGTTCGTTTTACGGCTTCAAAATTTGCGACTAATAATGATATGAATAATAATAACAAAATTGAGATATGCACCAATTTAACGAAAACATTTGATTATCAATAATCGTGAATCCCAACGCATCAAATGAAATATATTTTGACTCGTCACGGTCTGCAGTTCGATCTCTTCGAAAACAACGATCTCTGCCTAACCGACTAGTCACACCGTCATCATTTGCGCAGCACAAACAACGGGAACGAATATCTTGAAGTATTTCTTTTGAATTCTTGCTTCAAAAATTCCACGTTATCTTGATCTTCATCGTACAACGAGAAAATCGATCGAAATTTAAGTTAAGTTATAGAGATAGAAACTTTCACATATGTACGTAACGAGAAGTTGAAATTCTTTCTCTATATGTTAAAAGCGTTACAAACACTAAGATACATGTATATAAGTAAATACCCAGCAACAATAAAGGGAGAAAGAAGTTTGTTCCTCATCGCGAAGAGGAGGAAGACATTTTCACCGCGCCTTCACGGAGAAAACGACTTCGCTTAGAACTGCCTCGCCGACGGCTGTGGCCGTCGCGCGATACGCTTCTCAGAGCCTCAAGCACGCTCTCCCCTCGGGCTACCTACGGAATGTCACGCAAAATTCGCGAAATTAACCGGCCTGTTGAGTACTGACGATCAACGATCGATGCGTCAATTTGCACGCTCTTGTTTCGCGATCGAAGCGTTCCGATGATGCAGCTCGTTTACCCGATACCGAATAAAAATGTTCGCGGTGAATTTTCTTAGGCTGCATGCCGTATGGAAGGTGGCGCGCGGATCCGTACGACGTTGTCTGCCGTTCGTTGCTGGCTCGCAAGAGCCGAGGCCTTCGAGCACTCTTATGCTGCTTGCCGTATAAAGGCTGACAGTCAGTGGCGGGTTTCGAAGCTAACGGCGTTGGGCAAACTCCCTCGAACTCGGGGGCCCCGATGTCTACGAGTTCCCCGTTTTGTAGCCTCAAAATCGTACGTCGAACGTTTAAATTATTATTATATTACGTTGAAGATATTAGAAATTTTTTTTTATAATTATTTTTATTTAATTTATATTTTATAAAATATTCCTTCATGTATAATTTTTATATTTCTATTTATTATATTTTAAAAATTAAGTAAATTAAATAAAATGAAGAAAAAGATTTTTATTAATATTGATAAATTTGAAATTTTGAAAAATTGAAAAATTTTATTATAAAATATTGTAATATATAATTATGTGCGATATCAAATAGTTTCGGTTATGATTTTATATCATTCGATAATATAATTCGGCCGCACGATATAAGAAACTTGCTGAT